GAGACAATTTAAGAAATGTTTACATATTTATAATTTATTATGAAATTGGGTTTTCATTAATACACTGGAATTTAATTGTTAATTAGGCCCCAAACAGTGGCTTACAATGCATGACTTTTGAAAATAAAATGACATAATTTAACAAAATCTATTTTGCATATTAAAAATTATTCATGTATCTTTTTATCAAATTGAGGTTTTTTTTTTTTTTTTTTAGAGGCTTTTGCTATAGGGCATGTGGGCTTGGCAGAAAGACAGAGAGGCAGAAACAGAAAGCGAGAAATCACCCCCCAGGGGGGATGGCGATGCCGCAATCCCTTCTCCTCCATTTTCCTCTCGGGATCTTGGGCACGCACGCACACATGCCCGGCGTGAGTTTAAGCCACCGGGTCCGGGATGCAAACCATGGTCAGTTACATGGGAGTCCAGTGACATAGCCATTACTCTAACTGCTGGTCCCCAAATTGAGTAATTTTCTATGTTAGGTAAAAATACTGTCAATTATTCCACTGTTCAGATAATGGGTTATCATCTAGAGTTTAATTTCTGTAACTAGTAATCTTACAAATTCAAAATTGCTACTAAAATTCATATTGTAAAAGTTGCAATGGTGGAAATGCTATTTTAAAGTATGATGACCAACATCCAATGATGAGAAAAATGTATACAAAGACCATATAAAAATATTTATGGCTAAATAAATATGAAAAAAAGCCTTATTAGTTTTTGTCTCCAAATACTTTCTACATTCCAGTAATTTTTTATAAAATTTCAAGAGAACATGTAAATAACAAAATACACAGAAATATTATGTTGAATAAACAGTTGGAAATAGAGCTTATTATAATCTATTTGGATTATAAGGCAAACAATTTATTCAAAACATCCATTTTCTAGATGTGAAGATAGGTTTCTTTCCATGCCAGATCATGGGGCATGTGTGTGCCTGGTATAATCAGGAACGTACCTGGACTTGAACCTAAAACCTTTTCAAGTAGGTCAGCCTGACAGAGCATGGCATTTTACTGTAACTCTGTCCCAAAGATAAGTTTAAGTGCTACTAGTTAACAAAGTGAATCTGGAAAATTACTATGCATGCAGTTTATTAGTAACTAGTCATATCTAACTATCCACTTTCCCCTTCTTCCTTAGTAGTAAATGTTTTGATTTTTAGCTAAGCACGTGGCCTACCAGAATATATTATACAACTTTCCTTCAACTAAGTATTTTCAGAAAAATATGTCTTAGTTAGTAAGTGGGCAGAAATGGGAAATATAATTTCTATATCCTATCCTGAAAGGAAATGGGTGTATTATTGTTACCCTGCATTTTGATTAGAATATATGGTAGATGGAAATGGAACAGTCATCTTGGACTCTAAGGGGAAGTGCGTCGTAAGGACTGGAGCCACAGGCCAGAGGCTGCATATCTGCACTACAACAGCCCAAGCCCTGGACTACCCCTAGACTGCTTTTGTCTGAATAAAACCAGAATTCTGGCCCAGCAAGGTGGTGTGGAGGTTAAAGCGGCTGGATCCCACACGGCTAACTGCATGGCTTGAGTCCGAGACCCAACAGCTTGAAAAACACTGAGTGTGTGAGCATGTGTGCTCAAAATTCCACGAGAAGAAAGGAGGAAAGGGGACGGTAGCTTGGCCATCCCCTGGGGGGTGATTTCTCACTTTCCTTCTCTCTCTCTTTGGTGAGCATACATACCTTATAGCAAAAAAGACTTAAAACAAACAAAAACAAACCAAAAAACAACCAAACAAAACCCTCCTCAAAAGAGAATTCTACCTTAAATTCCTGTTATTTTGGACTCGATGCCACTTGCTGCTAAATCTAATTTGGCTGATAAAAGTCCAGAAGTAAGATTTGTACAGAATGAAACTTCACTTCACCAAGGTTGGCTGAGAGGCAAACGGGCACTTAAATACAGCATGTGTTCCTTTCCAGGCTTTGCACAGTGCTGTGTTCACTCAGAGGCTGACTCTCTAGAAGAACGAATTTTTCTAGAATCTAGAGTAGCACTTTCCAATATGGCATTTGCATACTCCTGGAGGAGTTGGAGATTATTACAGGTGGTTCCAGATGTACTTCAAAAATGTGTTCATACTGGGAACCAGCAGTTAGCGTAATGGCTATGTCGCTGGATTCCCATGTAGTTGACCGCAGTTCGCGTCCCGGACCCGGTGGCTTAAAACTCACGCCGGGCGCGTGTGCATGCGTGCCCAAGATCCCGAGAGGAGAATGGAGGAGAAGGGATTGCGGCGTGACCATCCCCTCTGGGGGGTGATTTCTCACTTTCTGTCTCTCTGTCTCTGTCTGTCTGTCTGGCGAGCGCTCGCGCCCTATAGTGAAAACCTCTCAAAAAAAAAAAATGTGTTCATACTGAATTAAATGAGTTTGTGTTGTAGGGTAGCTAGCACTCCATTTGGCAAGTTCAAACCTCATTGATAGAACAAAGGCCATAAAAATCAAGTTTGTTGAGGGACAAGAATGCAAGAGGAAAAAAAGCACCTCAAAACATTGACATTAGACAGTGTTATATGGTGACTAGAGTACAAGCTCTAGAGCCAAACCGTGTTCAAATCCTGGCTGGAGGGACCAGCAGGTAGAATAATGGTTATGTCGCTGGACTCCCACATAGTCAACTGCAGTTCAAGTCTGGGACTCAGCTGCTTAAACTCACACTGGCACTTGTGTATATGTGCTCCAAATCCTGAGAATGAAGGGATAGCGGCATGGCCCTCGGGCATGATTTCTTGCTTTCTGTCTCTCTGGTGAGCACACCCACCCAATACTAAAAACGTATCTTAAAAACAAATCTGCTTTCACAGTGATCAGCTGTGCTATCTCTGGCATGTTACTTAACTGTGTGGTACTTTTTGTGAGGGCATATACATGCATGTGAGAGTGAGAAAGAGCACAAGCCAATGGGACACAGTCATGCTGCAATCCTTTTCCCTCCATTTTTTTCCCCCGCAACCTGTCAGGATTGGGGCACATTTTTCAGCCTACTGGGGCTGAGATTTAACTGTCGTCAACCATGTGAGGTATATCTATAGGGCTGGCTAGTATGTCGTTTGTTTTGTTAATTGCCAGAGGGTGCAGGTGCTCAGCAGATGAGAGGAAGAGGGAGAAAGCACCCCCAAATGAGGCATGCTCATAGTGCAATCTCACCTCCTCTATTTCTCCATCCCATTGCATCTGGACACCCATGCATGGCATGTTTTTCTAGCCACCAGGGCTGGGATTAGAACCACAGTCAGTTATATGGGACCAGCCCTCTTAACCATTAAGCCATGTGGCGATTCCTATGTCACTTTTTATAATAGTACTTAACATACAAGGGTTCTATGAAGATTTTTAATGATCATTATAGTGACATAAAAGTGAGCACACAATAAATGTAAATTACTATCAGCTGGGCATCATTTAGCAAAGGGATCAGGAACTAGTTTTTAGCCACAATTTGTGGAAAGCTTACTGTGTCAGTTGTACATGTGACCTCATTTTATGTAACTAAGGGTTAGAAAGTTTTCATTACCTTCCCAATGCTATAGAACTGTAATACTTTTTGCCCAGCTAGAATTCAAATTCAGATTGATTTGGATTCCAAAACCATGCTTCCATGGTAATTGCTGATCAAAGACAAGGCCTGCAAGATTTCATAAGCTTTTTCTTACAGTCTGTCTCTCAATTCTCTGGCTTATAATGTGTACCAGCAAGGTCTTAAACACCTACAAAGGTCTGTATAGTAAAGGATGGGCAAACTAGAGAGACTGGGATCAACAACTGAGCACGAAGGGTGGGTCTTAGAAAATATGAGTCTTTGGCCTGGGACCAAGGACTGGGACGTGTAGCAAAGACGGGAGAGCAAGGGGAGCTGGTATACAGGACCTTAAGAATGCCTAGTGATACTTCTCCAGGTAACTTTTGGTTCTATGACTCAGTGCTTTTAAAATTCTGCTGAATTGTAGATCACAAAAATCTTATGATTCAGTAACTTTATACTTCCTAAATTATCACTTATTTTCTAGCTTTCAGAGTAAAGAAAGGATTTGGTCATTTAAATGATCTCTTTACATGGAGTCCACACATGAAAGGCCTAATGCAAAAACATTTAGTAAAAATTTCAAAACGTTGGGTCCTCTTTGTGGTGCAGTGATACAGCTGCGCGCTGCCTGAGAGATCAGATCCCACATGGCAAACTAGGTTGGTCTGCACAGGGAATGTCCAAGGATTGCTTGTCTGTCTCATACATCTACCACGAATTAAAAAAAAAAAAAATCGAAATATTCCTTTGGTTTATACCAGTATGTAGACAAGTAACTTTCCCTGCCTTTAGATTGGGGGAAAAAAAAATTCCACCAACCATGTTTTCTTCCCCAAGACAATTGTATCCAGTTGTACAACTCAACTAAACTGAATACAACTGAACAAACAAAGTCAAAACACAAGACCATACGATGGTGGGAAAGTTGGACTCCAGAGATTCTGGTTGCGCTGAGTTATTCCCACGGCGTTCCCGTGGTTGGGAAAGAGACACTGGCCGAGGCACCTCTTACTTGCTTTTACATATGTCAGCACTCAGAACTCTAATCCAGCCACTTTCGCTGCACGTGCTGCTAGTGGCAACAGCCCGGCAACTCTGTCCCGAGGGCGGCTGAGTCACCCAGCAGCCCACGCGGTTTTGGATGGGCGGCCACCACTGCCCGCTCACCCGGGGCGGCGCTCCTCCCGGCCTCCGTCCACCGGGCTGCCAGGTGCGCGCCATCACCCCCGCGTCTTCAGTGGGCGTACCATCCCCATCAGCCGCCACCTCCTGCCCGGTCCTTTCCCTGCCCATAGTGCGACCGGAACCCGGCTCCAACCGCCTTTCCCTCGGCAGTCAGGCTGAACGCGCCCTGCGGCCTCAGAATAGGAAAGCAGGAAGTTACCCAGGAGACCCTGGAACTTGGCGCTCACACAGCCGCACTGGCGCGCTCCCTCTACGGCGCATGCGCTCAGGGGCGGGCCGCGCGGGTCCGTCTCCGGTGACGTGGCGATACGGAGGCGGGGCCAGGGTCGTCGTCGTCGGCGGCGGCGGCAGA